AAAATTCAGTGAATGCTATGGGAAGTTTACCATTGAAATATTGATGCATAAGTTTCAATATCTCGATTTCATGAATATGACCAAGTTTAACTATGCTGCATCTGTGGTATAAAGGGTCAAGTCTAGACCGAAATGGTGCATTACATACAGCTCGGACTGCTTTATTTTGCAACACCTCCAATCTTCTAAGGAGAGTTGTCGAAGCGCTACCCCATGACATGATACCATACTGTACATATGACTGGGAAAGTGAAAAATAGACCATTCGAAGAGCTGGCATGGTAAGAAATTTTCTGAGTGTAAATAATATTCCGGAAGCACGGGCCACCTTTCCAGCAATGTAGTTAATATGTGTGGCCCATTTTAATTGGTCATCAATATAGATGCCAAGGTATTTATAAGAGTTGACATTTTCTAGCTGAGCTTTATCAATGCTAACATGAAACAGAGTTTTATTTTTTTTATTTTTGGGACTAATCAATAAGCATTTTGACTTTTCAATATTTATTGTGAGCTTATTACTGGTCATCCAATGTGCATTTTTTTGCATTTCACAGTTCATATGCAATTCCAAATCAACTAATGAAGCTGAACTTGCGAACAATCCAGTATCATCAGCAAAGAGTTTGACAAGCAATTTAGTCGCGTCAGGAAGATCATTGACAAAAAGGAGGAACTCAATGGGCCAATTATCGAGCCTTGCGGAATTCCACATTGTACAGCTGCAAGTTCGGAGCAACTTGATCCGATTTTTACACACTGCTGGCGAGAACTCAAATAGTTCTGGAGAAATTTTAACGCATGACGCGCGAAACCCATTTTTCTGATTAGTATGCTATGATCAATGGTATCGAACGCTTTTTTCAGGTCGAGAAATATGGCATAACGTATTCCTTCTCTCTAACGGTCATAAAAGTAAGTCATCATATCTATAATTGCATGATTAGTAGAGTGCTTCTTCTGGAATCCAAACTGAGATTTGTTTATAATACTATGTCGCTCTATGAATTGTGTTAGTCTAGCATGTAAAAGTTTCGAAGACCATAGTCAATGTAGAAAGGACTGATATTGGGCGATAATTAGATGTACTTTCCCTATCGCCACTCTTATAAACAGGTGATACTTTGGCGATTTTCAAACTATTAGGGAAAATTCCATGTTCTATAGAAGCATTAAAAAAATTACAGAGAATTGGGGAAACTAAGTCAGCAGCATATTTTAAAAATTTGGTGGGTATATTATCATAACCGACTGCTTTACCTTCTGGTAAACTTGCTATAGTACTATACGTTTCGTTGAAAGTTGTGGGCCTAAGAAAAAAAGATTCTTTGATAGGGTTCCTAAGATTACTCAGAAATGATCCCTCAATGTAGGAGATTTTCTCAGAAAGTTTAGGGCCTATAGAGATGAAATAATTATTAAAATAGTTAGCAATCGCACCTGGATCGCTTACTTTGAACCCACTATCCGTTCTTAGGGCTTTGATTGAATTTATTGGGGTTTTCGTTTTTTTTATGTTGACTAGTCGGCCAATTAGATTCCATGTGGATTTAATGTCACCACTGACTAGTTTGAATTTATCAAAGTAATACAATTTTTTTGCCTTGGCTATCAAAACCGAAAGTAAGTGGCTATAACTTATATACAATCTATGTTGCATATTGTTACCATTTTTGAAGTGAGTTTTGTGCATTTTACGTTTTTTTTTAATTGAAGTGCGAATTCCCTTGGTTAACCAGGGTTTGGCTAGAAGTCTAGTCTCACGCCGACTCAGTGGTTTCATTGGTGCATTGGCATCAATTGTTGATTTAATTATTTCTACAAATGAATCAAATAAAATGTTTAAATTATCATGCGTAATTTGGCAGCTCGACATAGGGAGGAAAGAGTTTCTAGATCAAATCTATAGTTATCAATGGAGAAGTGTCTCATATCACGCCTAAATACTTGTTTTTGACTTTTTATAACAGGAGCAGAAACTGTGCAAAGTTGTGCATAGTGATCACTGATATCGCTTAAGATGACAAAGCTAGACAGATTATAATTTATAGCGTTAGTGAAAATATTATCGATCAGAGTACTTGAAGTTCGAGTTACTCTTGTTGGCTTTGTAATTAGGGGTAACGATAAATTAGCAAGATGCATATCTATGTACTTCATAGTGGTCAAATCTGATGATTGACTTAATAAGTCAATGTTCCAGTCTCCTAATAAAATAAACAATTTTTTGTCTTTGTTCAACTTCTCTAAAGAAATAGTTGCAGTAAATTTGATAATATCTTTCCTTGGGTGTTTATAGATTATTCCAATTATGAATGAAATGGTCGAATTTAGTTTTAGGTTTATCCACAGATCTTCACAGTCAGGATGCCCTAGGTCATATTCATGAATCTCAGAGAAATTGAGGTCTTGACTAACATATAGCCCTACTCCCCCAGCAGAAGTTTTGGAAGGTTTATGGATGAATTCGTAATTGCATAATGATATGTTTGAAGTGGGAGTTGGCCCAAGCTTCGTTTCAGATATTGCAATGAGCTGCGGAGGTGTAATAAGTTCAGCCAATAGGTTAACAAGCTCATCATGATTTTTTTGAAGGGATCTGATATTTAAATGGAAAGCAATAAGACTATTCTTTGGCATGGACCTACTAATGAAATTAAGATTGAAAACTTCTAAATTTTCACAATTACAACCACTTATTTCATTTAGCACTTTGAAATTACGGGCAAAAGCACTATGAAGATTTTGACATGATTGAAAAGGCGGTGTTAAACACTTTTGGCACAAATATGACTGAGCTTGGGTTGCCGACACAGAAACCTGGGTACATTCAGAATGGAATCGTTCGCCACATATTTCACATTTGATATAATTTGATCTGATGTTATTAATCTACTACATAAATGACATGTTAAATCAATATTAGTCATACTGGAATAGATAATAAGTTACACTCACATAATGATTATTTGATTTTAGCGAGATCTTCTTCGCATCTTATATTTAGAGAGTTTCTTACGTCACTGTTCTTTTTGACAAATACTTTCCCATTTGAAGTCCAGATAAATCTATATCCACAACTGTTTTTTGCAGCTCTAGCTCTGAAGTACAGGTCTTTGTTTAGAGCGGTTAGGTTTTCTGCTATGAATATTTTTGATGGTTCTTGAAAGTTATCACTTGATTTTATAGTACGCAAGAATTTCCTTTTTTCAAATATCTTAATTTTGTTTTTGCGGTGGATGAACTTGGCAATAATAGCAGGAGTTCTATTTTCTCCAGCTCCTGTTGGCATTCTATGCGACACAGAGATGTCGTTTTCTTGGATATTAACACCGATCATCTTAGCTATGCTGCAGACTATTCCATCTGTGTTTTCATTTTCAGTGACAGGGACTCCATGGAACTCCAGATTTTCAAGTCGGCCTCTTCTTTCTTGATCCTCTAACTTTTCAGAAACATAATACAAATCATCCTCAAGATCGTATATGCGATCAAGGAGATTTACAATGGTCTTTTTGTTCTCGGATGCTTGTTTTTCCAATATTTTGTTCTTTGTTGCTAGGTCGTCATACATTTTGGTATGAAATGTTTGACTCTCTTTAATTTCAGTCAATTCAGATCTTATTACTCGCATTGACTGGCTTAGGTCACTGAGTATTTCCTGGATATTCGGTGTTAAGGGTGTCAGAATGTCCGAGTTATCTGAAAAGTAGTAGTTGTCGTCAAGGCACTGCCCTATCATAGCTGGAAGTTGTAGGGTGATGCCATTTATTATATTTTTTGTTATCAGGGGAAGAATCCCACTCACAATCTCGCTGTGCTGAGATATATCAGATGTAGTAGATATGTTTAGGGGTCCTCCAGTTTTCCCAGATTGCAGTTGCTCCTCTTTATTAGCACATTTTGTTGTAGTTTTAGCATGCACCTTTTTGGTCTTGGAAGGTGTTTTCTCTCTTGGTGGATTCATATTTAATTTGAGTATAGAGTTATGCTATTTTAGACTAGAACCTGCGTGATCTTAATCAAAACAGCAATGGACATCTAGTAGTAGTGTATATTTACGGTACAGTACATCTGATATTCATCCGACCACCGGGGATCCACCTACAGCTGACTAATTTGTTGTTACGTCATGCAGAAGTCCGCGTTCATTGGCCCATGATACGGGAAAAACAGAGAAAATAGGACAGATGGTAACACATATTTATTGTAGTAAAATCGTCTTTTCTGTAAAACGTGCAACTTTTGTAAGTGAGAACAATGACATTAAACAACATGATGCGCAACTCCGGCATTTTTGGCCGAAGATCGTATCCGATAGCACGCTCCAATGCAATAAATGGCCTCGGCTCGCGGCCTAGATTGTACAAGGCAAGTGAGTCGTGCTTCAAGAAGTTATGTGCGAGAGTATTGCTGGACTCCTCTCCGCCGCACTGCCGTAGTGCAGGAGGGTGGTTTACGTCCTGGCGTCCTCAAGCGCGTGAATCTGGAAACAAAAAAACTGGAGCTTGCCAAAGTATAAACTAAGTCCAGAAGTCTGTAAGTTTTGTGCGATGTCAAATCAGAAAGTTGATTCACACTCCTTATTATATATACTTATATCATGACTGTATACGGTACCGTACCGTACAGTTCGAGTGGAAGTGGTGACTCCTCTTCGGCCCATGGGCCGGGGCCACGGCCCATCAAATTGGGCCTAGGCCCATCAGGCTATGGGCCGCGGCCCATCAAGTTGTGTAAAGGAACTATTCACTTGGCTAACACAGACAGTCCCCAAACTCATAATAGAACTATAATGTAAAAAATCGGAACAAAATTTTGCCCTAACCCTAACCTGGTACACATACTACAGGAGTTTATTTTTTGGTTCGAATATTGACAATTTTGTAGAAATTGAAAATTTTGGTAAGATAATTGAATTTTTCCTGACGGGGCCGCGGGCCCATAGCTTGATGGGCCACGGCCCATGTGGCCCAATTAGATGGGCCGTGGCCCCGGCCCATGGGCCGTAGTGGAGTCACCACTCCTGTAGTACCGGTACAGTTCAGCCGTCAGGCCGTGGTCATCTGTAAATTTATTTTTTAGGCTAATGTCTATATTGGGTTTTGCTGCAGAATGCATCTTCTACTGATGGTGGTATGTATATCTTCCATACAAGGAATACTTGCATCTACAGATGGATATAGTCTTGTGTTGCAGCATGATTTAGGGAACGGTGAGTTCTTGGCATTGCCAATACAATAACATTATAGTAACTGTCTGCTGGTACCGGTATCTGGGTATTGCCAAACTAGGCTATAGCACAATAGTACGGTATGATTCGATCTTTTAAGATATTATCTTGGGTAAAAGAGAGCTGAAAGTTGATCAGTCCTGATTTGACAATAGTTCGATGGGACCAGCATTTTGATGAAACTATTTCTATTTTATCTTTCAGGGTTTTATGTCCAAAGAGGAGTTATTCTTTTTCCAACAATGAAGGGCGAAGATGCAGATATAATCGGACAAAAAGAATTAAACACAACTGAATTACATCTGATAAATAAATTACAGAGTGGTAATGGGATTTATAAACTCAGAGTTAGAAGTCAATTGATTACAACTGATGTCGATAAACAAACAATTGAAGATGGTTCATTTGTAACAGCATACACAGATGCAGTAAGCTCTAAATTGTTTCAATTATAAATACTACGAGTATGATTGGGCATTATTAAGCTTAAAACTTTAAACACTAGCCTATTTAAATAACTCCTCCTTAAACTCCTAGCCTATTTAAAGATTAAATTATTATTGCTCAATTCTATATTAGATTGCTTCTCAGTTGACAGATAATGCTTTGAACCCGTGGTTTTCAAACTTTTTGAGCCGCACCCCCATTTTAGAATTTTCTTGCCCCACCTCAAGAATAACTAGATAACAATGAGCTACAAATATCAGATACACATTGAAAACACCCCAAAAAACTGTTAAGATCGAATCTAACAAATATTTTTATTTTTAATTAGCTACACGCCCCTTCAAAAAAGTGTCTTCGCCCCAGTTGTGGGGCGAGCCCCACTGCTTTCAATCATCTATATGCCTGTCATTTTGTCAGTGTTATTTTTATAAATATTCACATTCACATTGTTTTCATTTCAGAAAAGTTTGTTGGCTTCAGGTCTACAAGACGAAATAACAATTCTTACAGATGGATTAGGAAATATCATATCAATTGAAGTCAAACTTCAGCAAAATGCTGGAGAATCAGATCTTGAAAACTTTAGTACAATTTTGAAAGTGAATAGTATTCAATCAGGCCCTGTGTGAGTAACTCATATACATAATATATTATATTCAAAAATTGATGCAAAATCCTGTATGGTGCAAATTTTGTTGCAAAAAACTCTATTTGGTCAGTTGTATAGCATTCGAGAACAACCTTGATATCTAATTGACATGGGAATACACAGTATTGGTAATGAAGCAACCATCAGTTGCATAGTGATTTCTTATAAGCAACATACTCTATTAGAATTCAGTAGGAAATGTCTGTTTTACTCAAATTCAATTTGTGTGATGAATTTCGGGTACTCCCGTAGTATGTGAACCAAGATGGCTGACACCTAAACGTAGTATCGTATGTGTATCAGGTTAGGGCACTTGGCTAGTCCCCGACCTCGTAATAGAACTAAAATAAGGAAAATGGGAATAAAATTATGGCCTGACCCTTCCTGGTACACATACTATGTTCAGGTGTCCGCCATCTTGGTGCACATACTATGGGAGCATCGAATTTTGTCCAGGGTATCCACAGAGTCATCACAAATAAAAACAAACTGTCAGTGTGACCAATTTTTAACACTTTTATTCTCTCAGGCCTGACACTGCTGGTTTTCTTAATAAATTGAAGGAAGAAAAGCTGAAGAAAGAAAAAGCAGATAAAGATCCAAAATCTTTCATTGGAAAATATGTATGTATAAAATAGATTGATTTCTCTAAGTGCAAGAACAAGAAGCTTCGGTTTAGTCCAGAGATATCGGCCAGGCTAAAACTTAGCTGAACGAAATGAATGTCAGGATGTGACTCGTTTGTATTGGCGCTAGGAAACAATCTTACTCTTTCTCATGCATACTGAAGCTTCTAATATTTTTGTTTCAAACAGTGGATGTACATTCTACCAGTGGTCTTCATAATGATGATGTCAAGTGCAAATCAGCAGCAACAGCAGTAGAAAGGAAGCAAGGCTTACCAGAAGTCTCAATCGGATTGTATTGAATCAACAAAACTCTGCATCTGAATAGATTTTATGTATTCTCATTATTATTATGGCTGTCAGTTGTCACTACAGAAAGGGATTGAATGATCCATTGTATCGCCTACTTTTGTGATCCAATTCTGATGTGTTTTTTTATTCTAATTTATTTGCAAACAACAATGGGACCTCCTGAAGTATGCGCACAACCTTATCTCAGGTTGTGCACTAGGTTAGGGTTTAGGTTATGCGACATCTTTGTGCGCATACTTCAGGAGCACGAACCATGTAAAAAAACTTCATGAATTTGGAAATTTATTCTTACTATATTTGTTTGTTTCAATGGGAGGATAGTACGATTCAATTTTGATTTTACTGGAGAGAGATTTTGCAACTGACTAAAACATCACATGCATTGGGGTTGAAGTGTATGCATCACAACAAAAATTGTGTAGTTGTTGATGGACGGTATTGTCAAGAACCATCTGTTTTATATCTGCCTGAGCAAATAAAGTAATAGGCACACCCTGCTTAGCACCAGATATAATTTTTGCTAATCAACGAGGCAATTTTTTCGAAGACTGAACTTTTGCCATATGGCTGTCACTAACTAGAAAGCTCCAGTGTTATTATGAGGTGGAACAATAGACCAGCGTGTTAACTGCATTGTTGAATAAGCGTCTGATAAAAACATGTACCAGGTTAACACATTTGACAAACGTTGTGTATAGGGACAGTGTAAGAGACTTGAGTGAAGCCCGAAATGTAGTCACAACAAAATAAGATGCGAAGGCCATTTTTAAAGAGTGGCTGTATTTTATGAAATTCCAGTTGACTGCAAAGAATGATATAAGCCTTAAGGGAGTAAATTTTCATACTGGTGACTTAAAGGAGGAGTCGTTTATCTTTAATGTTTTATGTATTGCTTCAAAAAAGACAATAAATATTCAAAAATCTAAACAAAATAGGTGATCAACAACAAAAATTGATATATATTTGCTTAATAACTAAATCTGAAAATAAAATATACACCAGGTTTGGTAGTAATTAGAATGCCTACTTGCATAATATCTGTAAACATTTCCATCACAATTGTATATAGACTAGATTACTGCAAACGCAAAGAAAGATTGGGGTTTTGCCAATTTCAATCATGGCAGGAAATTATTGTTAATAAAGAATTCAAACATAAAATGTATATTATCAGTCACACCTACACAAGTGCACTAAAAGCAAGCATTTATAACGAGGTTACTTTTCAAAATTTTACTACCAATGTAGATAGCATCCCCTACTGATGCAAGTACTACTTTGGAAAGGCATCTAAGGCTTATTCTTGAAAATGATAAATCAAACCCAAAAAATTATCGTTCATACCAGATATTAAGACTCAAAGTTAACCTTTTAAAGTTAATCCTATTAACACAAATTGTTGATTAGAACAGCGCAATTAGAAACGGATACAATATAGTGGCTTTTGTGTTGCATCATACAAATAAGTATTATTTTAATGATTTAGTCTTCTCTATTACAGCTTAGATTGAACAAAATACATCGTACGGTTAAACATAATTTACTTGAAATATTTCCGCTTAAGACATGCATTACATAAGGTAATCCCGCAGTATGTGAACCAAAATGACGGACACTTGAACGTAGTATGTGTACCAGGTTAGGGTTAGGCCATAATTTCATTCCAATTTTCCTTATTTTAAATCCATTAACAGTTCGGGGACTATCCAAGTACCTCCCATAGTATTTGTACCTGAAATTATGGCCTAACCTGGTACACATACTAGAGATGTATCGGTTGGATTAAGGCCGATATTTCCGATATATTAATCTTTTTGATATGGTCCAGAATGTTTTAAAACGATAAGATGAAATACTACTTTTTAATTTATTTTTTGTCCAGAGAGATCGTGAGCTATGAGCCATACATGTCCCCACCTGTTTTAGCTATTTATCAGCAAAACTAGCTCAACTAATTTGGCTGTTTTCTGCTGTCAAATTTTTATATTGACATTTTTAATATTACTTAGTAATTATGAAGAAATATATCAACACAGCGCATAACAAAAAGCAACGAGGCGCCCAGTTCTAAATCATATACAGTGGAATTGGAGACTGTTAGTCGTCAAGTATGAGTGTCATTTAGTCCGTCGACATCGATAAACTAAGTTTTGACACAATTATCCCTCTACGCAGGTATTAATTTGAATTTTGTTTAACTACACAATTTCTTTATACATATATTGACATGACCGCCTAGAGCCCTAGACTGTCTCAAAATATATGATAGCAATTGTAAAATATTATAAAATAGTAAAGTAAAAAAACATCCTTGACAGTTATAGGTAAGCCTTATTTTTGTCTGTGCTGATTGACATTCTTTCATCTTGGCTTTGATTTATTGCGCCGACGATTGTGATTGTAAAATGTTTTTAATTTGAACATAGGACGCCGTGTTAGAATGTGTGGGCAATATTCGATATTCTTTCAAACACGAAAAACGATGTTCGAAGGTCGCAATATTAACATCAACTTCGAATTGGACATCCCGATTTATGAGTTTTCTAATTGAACAGCGAGATTACTAGCGTCACTAAACAATGCATCTTAATCAGCATCCGGATACCAAACATTAGTGATATATCTCTTTTTTCAAATTTAATCCGAAATAATGTGTACTATGAACAACGCTCAAGGACCATTGTTTTAACCCTTCTGCCCTACACAGCACACTTAATTAAGTAATATTTACATAGTATCGGTATCGGCGACAAAAGTGATATCGGTACATCTCTAACACATACTACGTTCCAGTGTCCGCCATCTTGGTTCACATACTTCAGGAGTAGGCTACCTTACATAATTACATGCAAATCCAAAATAGTAGGCTATTGAATATTCTGCAATAATATACCGAAATAGCTCATATCCTTCAATAATAAAAGTATATCTGCAATAGAATATAAAATGATGCAATTTAGATAAATATCATGCGGTTGCATTCAGGTTGCAATGCACAATTACACATTGTGAGATACATCAGTGCACCCCAAAAACCTCAGGGAATAAATTCATTGCTTGGCCATATACACCTCAAATCATTGCAGTTTCAACTAATTTTCAGGAGAATATATCCAAAACGCTTATATTCAACCCAAGTTCAAGTATTCTTTACATAAACTTGTATAACTTTGGCATAATTCATGGTCTCTGATATCACCCCAACCACCATTCTGTACATGTGGACTGTTGGGGCTTTTGCTCGATGACTTCAAAAAAAGGGTAGGGGGGAATAAATTTGAGGCTTCTTTTCGTAATAATCCTCTGAGTTTTTCAACCTCTGCGGCTATGTCGCACTTTCCACCTGCAGGTTTCTGATGGAACCCAGTACATCCAAGATGGTAAACTCTTGGTACTTTTAATATGAGGGAATAAAGGTGAATATCTGAAAAGCATTTCAACGCAGTTGATTGCAAAGTCCAGTCCCAGTTGTAATCATCATAGGTGCAGAAATATTTAGAGCATGATGTAATTTTATCAAAAAATTGTTGATTTATTACCATTCCGATGTTATGCTTCGAACTAACCCATGGTTTAACATGAGCATCTGCGCCATTGAAGCGATAGTCTGTTGTGAAGTCATATGCACCTAATGTAATAGCAAGACAGTCTTTGCATTCTGAGTCTCGTAATAGAACTGCCTTCTTCATGACGTCAATTACATCTGGGATGACATAATTGTCATCCTCAAGCAATAAAATAGGGCCAGTATTACCATTAAGTTCTCTGATGCCAGAAAATACCATGTTGAGCTTCCAAAACCAATGATGCTTCAGTTGGACATATTTAATTTCTCTGTAATGACCATACATATCTGGACATTCAGCATTGTTGCAGCCTTGTTTCATTGCAGCTGATTTGGATATATCACGAGGGCAATCATTGGGATCTTCACCTGGAAATTTGTTGGGAAAGAGCTGCATTGAGAATGGGAAAAATATTTCCACATATCTGCAAAAATTAAGATTTTTATCGATGACATTATCCATGTCAGGAGTGAATTTATCTCGACTGATTACCAATGTTGCGCTTTCAATGCCTTTGACTTCTCGTAAAGAGTCGAATAATATTTTCAAAAGATTTGCCCTATCATGTGCCTGCACAACAATCACAGGATCGTCAGCGCGGTGGTCTCCAAATTTTTCTTTATTTTTTATTAATTGGATGAAATTTAATTTTTTCGCTTCTTCTCTCATTTCCTCAAGAGAATATCCTCTTGAACTAACATTTTTGCTTTGTTCTTTGACAGGTTGAGCAAGGACAGGAGCATCAGATCGGACTTTGTCAGCTATTTTTGATGGCAAGTCTGCACTTATGGATTTGTCCTCCTCCTTTGCAGGTGAAGTGTGAGATACGAATTTTGCTCTCCATACAACGCCCAATGATACTAACATCAAAATAATAACTAAAATCTTGATATTGTTCCGACGATAAATCAATGCCATCATTTAACTAGTACTGTAGTAATAGGCCTACATGTAAAAATGAAAACATTTAATAAGATATTAAGAAGTGTACCGTAATTCATGCCCCAATGCGGTACGTTGAATAACAGTTGAAATAAATTATATTCTAGACTCTACAAGCAGACTAAAGGCCGCAGCGGCTAACCGACAAGCGTTTACGTCAAGAACGGTGTGGCCACGCCCACGCGATGCCCCTACTAAAATTAGAATTTCCGCTACGTTCATACTAAAATGGCTATGTTCTTTCTAAAATCGTGATCCCGATATGTTTCTACTACAATGACTACCACTACCGGTATGTCCAGATAGGATTCAACTTACCGGATAGGATAGGATTTACATATTTATCCCGGGGAGAGGAAAGCGGATAAGACGGCTTATCCATATGGCGAACCACGGCCTCTCGTCCGGTTACCATTCCAAGTCGGGTATGCTGGTATGGGATTAGATTTACTGTATTGTTTGTTTTCGGAAGCATGGACTTGGTGGTGGAGGAAGCCGTAACCGACCAGCGGTTACGTGAACCACCCAACGACGGCGAAGAGTCCAGCAATCCTCTCGCACATAACCATCCCTGTATGGGATTCGAACCTGCGAACCCACGCAGAGTAGTTCAACATACCGGTACCGGTACATATTTATCCCGGGGAAGAGGAAAGCCAATTTTCCGGTTACGGTACGGTACAATTAATTCCACGTATGGAAATAGTTCTGTAGTTAGTTACCCTTATTTTTTGTTTTTGGAAATTAGGGACATAATCTACCGGTACCGCACCTAGCCCACCTACCGTACAGGTGGCTTATCAAACCTTTGTCGCCCGGGGCGAGTTTCTGATAATGCTGCCCCTTATACCTGTACCGGTACTTAACTTCAGAAATAATTTTGGAGATAAACAAATTACAGATGTTGCTATTGATGAGAATGAATAAATTCAAAAGTTAAGTAATAGTAAAATGTTTGTAGGCTTAATACTATTATTTAAATTTTAAATCGTCAAACGAAGCAACAAACTCACCACTATAACGAAAGTCTGTAAGAGCGAAAGACAGTAAACTCGAATGACATGAGCCAAGAAATAGCGGCGTGCGGGATGGGATGGAGCAATGAGCATACATACAATGAGTGGAAACTTGCAAAGATTTGCTCATTTTGGTATTGTTCCCTGCATTTTTTACGTCGTCCGGCTAAATGGTTCGTTGCATATTAAGAAAACGCATTGCTCGCTGCCAAAATCCCTTGCTTCAGCCGAGTCGGGTGCGAAATTGGCCGTATTGAGGTCTTTAATTCTTCAATACATATTTGGTTTTGGGTTTCGAAGTATGGTACGCTGAAAGCATACAACTATGAGCATATGCTTATTGGGAATGCGTATCTATTAGACAGAAAACGTAGTTACAGTACAGAATATGAACCAGTCGCCCAGTGGGGTGCGGTTATTTATGTATTTATTAGGATAATGAGGATAAGGATAAGGATTTACATATTTATCCCGGGGGAAAGGAAAGCCGATAAGACGACTTATCCATATGGCGAACCACGGCCTCTCGTCCGGTTACCATTCCAAGTCGGGCATGGGATTAGTTATATTGTTTGTTTTCGGGAAGCATGGACTTGTTGGTGGAGGAAGCCGTAACCGACCAGCGGTTACGTGAATCACCCAACGGCGGCGAGGAGTCCAGCAATCCTCTTGCACATAACCATCCCTGCATGGGATTCGAACCTGCGGACCCATGCAGAGTAATTAGAGGTGCGGTGGCGAGCGTATTCCTAACGCTTAGCCCGTTGAGCCACACCGCCGCGCATGGGATTTACATATTTATCCAAGGGTAGAGGAAAGCCGAGAAGAATGCCTAAATATATGGCAAACCACGGCCTCTCTCAATCATAGCTCTGTCCTCCATATGAATCACATGGCTCTGCGAGCTATTCGTTTACTTATTAAAAATACTGATTTTAACTATTTCTCTGGGATATCTTGCCATTGAAAACAAAAGCCAGAAATTGGAAGAATAGCAGAGAATGAAATGTGTGTATTATGTAATGAAGAACCTGAGTTTGTTTCACATATTTTCATGTATTGTAAATTTACAAAAAATATTTATGAGGATTTTGTTTTAGATATATTAAAATTGATTAGAATACATTTTGTTATCAATATGATTCTTGCATATTATTTAATTTCAACGATCCTTTATATAGTCATATAGATACTGTTGATTTGGATGCAATTATACTTTTGTAATCAATAGTGAGATATAAAATTTTGACCATGAGAAATTCTATTATATTCGAAAATAAAACACCCCATTTTGCCTTTCTCAAAAAGCAGATAAAAATGGCCATAATATGTAGAAAAATATAGAGAATTATAGAATAAACAACCCATTTGAGAGGGAATTGAAAAATTTATGTAAAGCGTTATTTCAAAAAGAAAATTATATGTTTATGATATGTATTTTATATTTACTAATTTCATTTTTATTGTTTTATATCAATGCATTTATTAAAATAACCTAATTATGGTATGGATTACTACTGGAATTGAACAAAATAAATACTGAATCATGGATGCAACATGGAATATGAACTTATTTATATTAACCGTAATTAAAATCACTCATTGAGTGAACGAATGAGCATACTGTAATGCTTATTGGGAATACATACCATTTATTAGGCAGAAAACTTAACTACAGAACAGAATATGAACCAGCCAAGTGGTGACCTGGGATATTGTATTCATTGATATAGATAGTTTATTTTGAAAAGTCCACAATCTGACAATACAAACAAATAAAAAATGGAGAGTTCTGGAGAGCGAGCAAAACCTTTAAAAAAGTTTAAAACACGATGAGTATCATGTGCCCGCCGTGTTATAGCAAGTAGTAATGTGTAATGAATTTAATTCACTGTGGTAAATGAATTGCTATCTTTTTATTTGTTATGAGCACACTTGCTGGAACTCCATAATCTATTATTTTATTTGTTAGTAACACTTTTTATAAAAATATCAAATTGTTTATCATACTTGCATCCATATTTCGCCCTAAATTCTATGACACTTTCTCTGTATCCAAATATCTATGTACATGACCACATTATTTATTTTTTAGTAATACTTCGTTTAAAAGTATCTTAATGTTTATTATACTTGCTATTCTGGTATTTAATCAATTTTTTGCCTTGAATTTTATTCTATGATACTTGCTCTGTATCCAAATATCTATATGTATATGAGCACTTTATTTATTTTTTAGTACCGGTAATACTTATTTAAAAATAACCTATTGTTTATCATTGCTATTTCAGTATATTATCAATATTTCGCCTTAAAATTCATTCTATGATACGTGCTCTGTAGCCGAATATAGATATGTACATGAGCACTTTATTTCATATATATATATATATCTGCTGGAGAAGGGTCAAATCCTGATCATGTATTAATGTGTGTCACTATCCTCCAAATCACTTGCCAGTCATAATCAAGTATTATAATTTGATGTGTTCAAATTATAGTGTATAAAGAAATATACTCATGATTTCATTACTATTATCAAATGTTTATAATTAAAGTGCTATAATAATAGAATTTTCCTCATCTTTGCTCATAAAAAACCCATGTCCTATCACATTAATTTTTAGTAGACAAATTTTCCAAATAATAGGTATCCTTGCTAACCCATTTTTATGCAGTTGATATGCAATACATGTCAACTTATCAGCTGAATAAATGATGATCTTAGGACAAAACATGATTATTTAGTACTTTCCAAATCAAAAATTCTTGTGAATAATGTATATAGTGAATACGGTATATGAGAGCTATTGAAGAATTTAACACCGAACCTGTTAAATGACCCCAAATGTTGTAACGTTGTCTCCCAGTCAAACACCTGAGCATCTTTTTTTTTTATTATAATTTATATATGTTCATGGTTTGACGAACGAAATAAACTCTCTCTCTCTCTATTAGTTTAAAATACTGACTTCTGGACTTGGCTAATTTTATACATATCAAAACTTGTAAATATTTGCATATCAAAACTTGTCATTTATTTCGTTCCATCCATGTATTTTCAACTGTTTTTCCAATAAAACGTACTTATGCCTTACTGTTATTTGTAGCTTATTATTGTTAGCTAACTATTTTGAGGTGAGGCGGAAGACTTCACAAATTCTAAAAAGGGGGTGCGGCTTGAAAAGTTTGGGAATGCTTGTATGTAGTAGACCCTAACCTGGTACACATGGTTGGCAACTGGGTTTACATACTTCAATTTGTATTACAGTTGTAAAACAGAAAAAAGCTGAATGTCGGTCTTATTCCATCTGTAAATTTACCAAAATCTCCACAAAGAATGAACAATGTGCCAGACCATGTGTATTATCGATGAAATGAAAAGTGACATATGAAAAATACAGAAGCTGTAGAAAATATTTTGCATTCCAAAAAAATTAGTTCACATATTAAATATTTTACATTACAAAAAAAATGGTGCTCCAGAAGTATGTGTACCAATATGAAGGTAACTAATTTTGTTCGCCTATTTTATATCAAGTTGTGTAAATGGACTAAATTCTATCGGTAGGGGATATTCACTTGTGTAACACAGACAATTCCCGAACTTTTAATAGAACAAAAATAAGGAGAATCGTAACCTAACCTGGTACACATACTACAAGAGTACCGAAAAAACAGCCCACATAGTAAAAGCAGTTATGGAAATACTTACATTGCAGAAAAATTAATTCACATAGTAAATAGCAGACGCAAGATGTATTTTGCATTGCAGAAAAAATAGCTCACATAGTTAATAGCAGTCCTGAAATATTTCTCACTATTGATAACAAAAGTATAATTGCATCCAAATCAACAGTATCTATATGACTATATAAAGGATCATTAAAATTAAATGATATGCAAGAATCATATTGATAACAAAATGTATTCTAATCAATTTTAATATATCTAAAACAAATTCTTCATAAATATTTTTTGTAATTTACAATACATGAAAATATGTGAAACAAACTC